CCTCTCCTCTCCTCTCCTCTCCTCTCCTCTCCTCTGTATTTGTCTGTGGTTTGCATTATCATTCACTAAATATACTTGGACATGACATTACTTTTCTTGAGCTACAGATTTGAAAACTTCTGTCACTCTCTCTTTGACCCTCCACCATTTCAGGAATTTAATAATTAAATCAGTAACTCACACTCACTTAATGAATGGGGCCTCTTTTTTGGCATTATATAAATTATATACTTTTTAAATAAGAAGGGCAGAGTGACAAAAATTATCTAAAACTCACTAGATTGAAAGGCTTGAAATATATAATCTTCATGTTTACACAGTTCCTCCCTTTCTTCTAGAAAATATGTGAAAGTAAAGTGGATAATCTGCCACTGAGACAGCTTAATGGTCCATCTAAAATATAAATGTCTACCATTTTGTCTGAAAAGCTACCATACTTCTGTCACCAACTATTTTCATTAACAATTTACATGCTTTATGGAAGTCTTTTTCCATACTGATTATTCCAATTTTCAAGAAGCCAGAGGAGGAAGCATTTGTCATCAAGGGCCAAAAAGAACAAGTTACTTGGGTCTTAAATGAGCCAGACCAAAAAGTATCTTATGTTGCCTAATGTATAACTATATGCCCAATTTTATAAGCCAGCCATGTCAGGTTTGGTCAAAATTAAGTTTGTCTTGGCTGTGAATTTGCTGAAGCTGTTATCAAATGCACTGAGGGTTGGGGAATCTGCTGACTGTGGCTTTGAGATAAGGAGGGGGCAGGCTCAGCTTTCAGAGAATCAACCCACAGAGGTGCACACTGGTGTTTCATGGTGGCCTTTTCAGTGCTACTGCTAACTGTGAGATGTGCCACACTACTGCTCTAACACCAATTCAGGAAAAAAAAACCAGCACACAAAGTGAAATTTCCAAAACTCAGTAAACATATGTTTTACTGCTGAAGACAAAGAAGAAAGGGATTCCAGTGTGTGCTGGATCTCGAGATGGGTAGCTAGTGCTACCTCCATTGCAAAAGAGGAAGATGAAGAAGAAAATATCTGCCAGAAATGGGATAAGATGGGCCATCTAAAATAAGAGACAAAGATATATCAGCAAAGCAAAAAACATTAATTGGGATGCTGGTCTGGGAGTTCATGGCTTTGTAGCCTTGTAAAGGCTGGTGCTTGACTCTTTCTTTTGCTAAGACGCTAGACAAGTTCATCTTCTGAAAATTAGCACGTGACTAAATACACAATGATAAAAGCACTTACATTATTTCCATAAATTCCCCTGACAGCCATTTGAATGCAAATTGAGCAGAAAGAAACCCTGTTTAAATGAATTAACAAGGAAAGGCAGCAGGGGGATGTGGGGGAAGAAACAGGACTGAACACAGACATACTAGATACAACCTCTTAAAAATAGAGTTGGTTCATATTCAATATACTTGAAGAAGGCATTTCATATTCCTTTATTTAGGGTCAGAGGGCTCTTAATTTATCCAGCTTGAGTGCACTGACACAGTCAAGATAGTGAAACGTTTCATCTATTTCATCTATTTCAATATAGCAAACCAGGGACTGCCTGTTATGTGTTTGCTTTCTTGCTTTTGTCTCTATGAACAAAAGAAACAGCAACCTCTTAATTGAAAAGATAACATCACAAAATTGAAGTGATGCAGCACAAAATAAGTGCCACATGTTTAGAATCTGCAGTAACTTATCTCATTTTGGTGAGCCTCTGTTACTGTGCTTGCTGACCTGGCATGTGCAAGCTGTAGAAGATTGGTGACTGTTAGAAGATTTACAAGAAAGCTAAAGTTAAGCAGGAAACCAGTTTATTTTATCTTGAAAACTGTGAAGTAAGATGAAAGCTTATACCACTTCAGAGTGTGGTAGATTATTTAGACTGTTTTGTTTTTCCTCAGAAAGGAATAGACAGGTCAGTGGGAAATTCTGGTTCCCAGGGCTGCTGATCTACATTGCCATAGTGGAAACTGAGGCTGTGGCACTGGTGCTAACACCAGGGGCTGAAGACGAGGAGTAAGGGCAGAAATAAACTTCTCCTCACAAAGTCACCACCAAAGAAACCAGACGGAGTCTGCAGGTTCACCTGGGTGTTAGTCGTCCCAAAGCATTTCATTGGAAAGTCTTAGTGAAAATAAGATGGATGGAACTTAACCTTGTATGAAGTAGTATGGAGAGAACTCCTCCAGAGGGGAACAAGAATGAAATAAGGCATATACTCTCTCTACATGTACCTAAAACAAGCATCTGCTGCAATATATCTACGAGCAGTCCTTTCAGACCATGAAGAGTAGTAGATGGGAACAGACCTATTGAAAAACCAAGTATGGGTTGCAAGAAGTGGCACTGGTGGCTCACTGTTCAACAGTGTTCAATTGCCCTTCAGCTCTTGTGAGTCAGGGATAACTGTACAGATGGATATATCATGTTCAGAAGAGATGTAATATCATGGCACATCAAATTTACAAGTATATTTTCATTTGAAAATAAGTTACTTAATCATAAATAACTTCAATTTAAAGGAAATTTTAATTTATTTCCCTATTTTTTCAATAAAATTGTAAACTATTTTACATAGTTCAAAATATTTGAGGCTGACATAGCCAACTAACACAATTCAGTTTAAATAGAATAATTTTGAACTTTGCCTCAAAATTAGAAAATATCTCATTGAATTATGGCAAAACCAAATGACATATTTAAATAACTGTCCATCAATCCAATAGTGAGGGTTTGAAATAGGCAACAGAACAGATTCCAAACTGTGAACAGATATCCTTTCTTTATGGCTAACTGGGTTTGGCTTCTCATGGTTAAAAGATATATGTGAATGTCTAGCTACAGCTGAAATAAATTAACTACATCCAACAGATCCTTTCTTGTGCAGACCACATTAAAAGACAAATATAAGAAATGTTTGCACAAAAGACTGTTTAAAATTATTCTTTCATGAAAACCATCATTCAACCATCTTCATAATGTCACCCAGGATGTAAATATGCAATGCCTGTACCAGGTGAAATTACACCATTGTACACACTGCCTATGTAAAACCATATTACTGCAATGCAAAACACAGACTTTTCCCAAAGGCCTCTCTGACAAAACCAAAACTCAAGCCATGTTGGGGACACAACCTTGTCTCCCCTGCAGAACAGCTGCAGAGGAGAGAGTCATAACTGTTTGCAAGGTGCAAGAGGACTGCATGCTGGCTGTGATCAGTGAAATCGAGCCCCTTGTTACCAGTCAAATTTCATGGAGTTACCAAAGTGAAAGTGCCTTGGGAAGCTCAACATGAAAGGATTACAAACTTGCTTTGCTGGTCTCATCTATGGGAGGCCTTAGTTGCATAGGGAAAGCACTGTAGTGAGAGCCTATGCTCAAACACCAGCACTGCTTCAGAGTTCAGATGATCTTTAGGTCAAAATTATTCTGCATTTGATCTCTCTCTTTGCCAAATGGAAGAAAAAAAATCCTCACTTTCGTAAAGAATGGAGTGAGGCTTAATGCTGTGGGCTTGTAAAGCTATTTGAATAACAAAGGAGACAGAGCTATAGTTAGAATAATGATGTTAAGTTAGGATGTTCAACAACACAAAACTATGGCACTGATTAAATATAGATGTGAGAAAGAGAACTGATGGAAACAGATCACTATATCAGACAAAACATCTTCCCTAGAGAGCTAACAGCTAGTTAGCTGCCCAGACAGACATTCAAAGGCACTCCATGAAACCTAGATAAAAATGGGCAAATATTGACACAAATTCATCTGTTTTAACTGTTGTTCTGTCTGGATTTCCAGATAGCTACAGGTCATGCAGCAGCTGGTGTCTGAAAATATGCATGCTTCAAACTATTACCTACACCTGCAAACAACTGCTCACGGATGATGGTCTGAATGTCAGCAGCACAGCTGGTCTCAGTTCATATCCAAAAGACAATGGAGACTCTGTGGAAGGCTCCAGACAAAACTGGCATCCTTGAAGGACAGTGCTACATCCTTACCACTCTCCACACTAAGTTATATGTAAAATTTTCAAAAACTGCCCTTTCTCCCAGCAAGATTTCAATTGCTTGAGATGGGGAGGGAGAGTTTGAGATAAACAGTCAATTAAGA